TAAGAGGATTCTTCTTTACACCATGTGCAAGTTGACTTATGTCCAAGATGAAGAACTAATGTTATTGTGCTGAAACCATTTTGCATATTTTGGTCACTGTGATCTTGAGCTTTCACATTTCAGCCCTGAAATCAAAAGGATTATTCTTTTTCCCAAATGCAAGCTATAAAGTCTGGTAACGACAGATGATGGTGAGTTATTGCATGGAAACCATTTATTTTCCTTCAGGAAGTGATCATGACCTATTTTCATTACTCCATGTGCAAATCATCCACCAAGTTTGGTAATGGTAGATGGCAGTGAACTGAAGTTCTTATGTGGAAATTATTTATTTTTTTCAGTCAGTGACCTTAAACTTTGAGAATTTGAAACCAAAATTGATTGTTTCTTCCCTACCCCAAGTGCAAACCATCCACAAAGTTTGGTAACTGCTTTGGTGGCAATCTAGACATAACATCCATACAGTATGGCATCCATGAAAATGACAACCATTCTATGTATGACCCAGGTCAGGTGCACAAGTGGATATATATATATATATATATATATATATATATATATATATATATATATATATATATATATATATATATACTGGCAATTCTCCCCTCAGTGGGAGGATATAGTAGGATGTATTTACAATGAAACAAAGGTGGTTTTTTGGCACAAAAAGTATGAAGATTTACAGTATCAATGGCTAAGTTAGTGCTGCTATTAAAACTGCTATTATGTCAAGAAAATAAAATCATATCATCTACACAGAGATATAAATTTTTAATTTAACTTGTCCATGTTGACTGGTTTATGCACAATCATGATTTCAGGATGGATGGATGGACAGGACCACTGATCCAAAAGCAGTGAGTCTGAAATTTTAATGATGTTATCTGCACAAGCATACAAATATGCATTCACAATTTTATTTGTCTACATTATTTATTCTTGTGGTAATTGTGAAGACCAGCCCTGGATAGACAGATGGATGAACAGAAAGAGCTCAGTCAAGATGCCCCTGCTGTAAGCAGTAGGAGAAATAAAGCTTACAATGCATGCATAATATGACATTACTGTAATGACAATTAAAATTGAATTACTGGTAGGTAATTTATGACAGCACCAAATCAAGAGTCCTCCATTGTACAGATGCCCCCACTGGACAGAACCATAGGACATAATCAAGATGACCCAACTGGACAGATGAAAAGAATTAAAACAGGATGCCCTACTGTACAGATGGACACATATCTAGATGCCCCCACTGTACTGGTGGATATAACTACTGCACATATGGGCAGGACTAAAAATGGGCAGGATTACTCTGCTGAGATGGAGATGCCCCAAATGCAATGACTAAATGACAGAAGTAAATGAATATGTCCAAAATGCACAGATGGATAGGAATAAATCAAGATGCCCACACTACAGAGACAGATAGGACTAAACCAAGATATCCACAATGCATATCAAGATGCCCCCAAAGCATAGACAGTAAGGACTTAATCAAGATGCCCACAATGCACATATAAACTGCACAGAGAGGATTAAATAAAGATGCCCACACTGCACACATAGACAGGACTAAATCAAGAAGCCCACATTGCATAGATAGCCAGGACTAAATCAAGATGCCTACATTGCATAAATGGACAGGATTTAAGCCCAATACCTCCACTGAAAGTAGTGGCAGCATATGAATGTAAAAGCAGCTTATGAATATTGAATGCAACTGGACCAACTTTGTGAATTGGTCTGGTATGTGGAAATTATGCAAATCATTAATGGTGAAAATACCTAATGAATTACCAGTCATGAAGTGTCTTAGTGAAAATGTATCTAACCATATCAGGACAATACATTCTTAAACAGCAAAGCTTGCATCTTAGAAACGTAAACCTGTATTTTAATATTTATAAGAAAAATTAAATCTAATCAGTAAAATTTTTAGACAGATTGCTTTAAATCTTTGGTGATGGAAATGTTACAAAAGGATTGAAACATTGCAGTTAAGATAATCCAACCACTTACCTGGTAACACATCCATGCCTGTGCACAAGGATGTACCATCAGATGTCTTGAATAGAGAAATTACTAAACTAACATCACATCAATATGATAAATAATGCACATCAAGGTTATTTATGAAGCTAAATGTTTATTAGAAGAAATCACCTGTGAGTTATTCACCAATGAAGAGCCAAAATTTACAAAGAAAAATGCTATATTGCCTGGTTACACCTGGCAGGTTAGTGTGCAGATAGGTGATTCTGATACTATCTCTATTAACACACCTCACATGATAAGGGGTGAATGGGACTAAACTTGTAAGTATATATGTATTACCTTACACACCCATAATGCAATGAAAAGGTAAAGACAAGTCTTAACTGTTTTTCATAACTTTTGATCCTTCAGAAACCTGACCTTAAAAAGAAGATTTTTAATAAAAAAAATCAGGCCATGTTACTGCCAATAGTAAATACAATATTTACACACTTCTCTTTAAATGTATATTTTTCCGAAGTTCATAGGACACTATTTTATGAACTTGAGACAAAATATTTTCTTTGAAATCTGCAATCGGGAAACATAACTGAAGGTTGCTTTGGTTTGATTTGGCATTGTACAGCCCAGTAACACAAGTAGGTGTAAAAGCAATTGCAGTAAGATGTCTTGTCCAAAAGACATACCATAGTACCAACCTAGACAATTCCAACAGTAAGATTCAAACCTGCATTTTTTCAGTTTCTAGTTCTGTATCCTCACTACTGAGCCACTGTGCATTTTTAATCAAAGAGGTAAACTATGAAGGACATATGTGTCACTCTATGAGATTATAAACATTGGCAGCAGAAGTGAGAAAGGTCACATTTTTTCAAGAATAGAAAAGACCTATTCTTTCAAGAAATACAGTACATTAAAAAAGTTTAACAATTTCTGAGTTATATTTTAATGCATGTATTTTGAATTTTATAATGCACAATATCTACAATACAAGCAAAATATCTGGGTCAATACAAACCTGAAAACATAAACAATTGGTGGTGGTTACACCATCTCAAAAGTCCATATAAAACATTAGACCCTTAATGAGCATGATTTTTCAAACTGGTTGGAAATCAAACAAGATTACAAAACTCAGATAGGTGTGAATTTGTAAAGCAGGTAAACAATAATACATCATATCCAACCATGTGGACAAAACTATAAATTTGTATTAACAACCAAATACATAGCTGTTATCATGCTTAAATCTTACTGAAGCATGTGTGAGTTGCAGGAACCAGCCATGATCATTGACTCAAATAACTAAGATGGTATATTACTTGTTTAGAGTTAGGTAGCTGCAAGTTTTAGCTAAAGTCTGGCCATGCATTTTTCTCTCATGACACTTAACTATCACCCATGGAACACCATATATACTTGCTTATAAATCCAAATCCCATGACATTTGGTTCTCATGCATGGAACACCATATTTACATGCTTATAAATCCAATGCTTATGATATCTGGCTCTCACCCATGGAACATCATCTTTACTTGCTTATAAATCCAACTCCCATGACATTTGGTTCTCACCCGTGGAACATCATATGTACTTGCTTATAAATCCAACACTTATGATACTTGGCTCTCACCCTTGGAACACCATATATACTTGCTTATAAATCCAACTCTCACCCGTGGAACATCATATTTACTTACTTATAAATCCAACGCTTATGATACCTGGCTCTCACCCATGGAACACCATCTATAGTTGCTTATAAATCCAACTCCCATGACATTTGGTTCTCACCCATGGAACATCATATTTACTTGCTTATAAATCCAACACTTATGATACTTGGCTCTCTCACCCATGGAACACCCTATGTACTTGCTTATAAATCCAACTCCCATGACATTTGGTTCTCACCCGTGGAACATCATATTTACATGCTTATAAATCCAATGCTTATAAATCCAATGCTTATGATACTTGGCTCTCACCCATGGAACACCATATTTACTTGCTTATAAATCCAACTCCCATGACATTTGGTTCTCACCCGTGGAACATCATATTTACTTGCTTATAAATCCAACACTTATGATACTTGGCTCTCTCACCCATGGAACACCATATTTACTTGCTTATAAATCCAACTCCCATGACATTTGGTTCTCACCCGTGCAACATCATATTTACATGCTTATAAATCCAATGCTTATGATACTTGGCTCTCACCCATGGAACACCATATTTACTTGCTTATAAATCCAACTCCCATGACATTTGGTTCTCACCCGTGGAACATCATATTTACTTGCTTATAAATCCAACACTTATGATACTTGGCTCTCACCCATGGAACACCATATTTACAAGCTTATAAATCCAACACTTATGATACTTGGCTCTCACCCATGGAACACCATATATACTTGCTTATAAATCCAACACTTATGATACTTGGCTCTCACCCATGGAACACCATATTTACATGCTTATAAATCCAACACTTATGATACTTGGCTCTCACCCATGGAACACCATATTTACTTACTTATAAATCGAACGCTTATGATACTTGGCTCTCACCCATGGAACACCATATATACTTGCTTATAAATCCAACTACAAACAACATCAATAGTCACATGCATTAACAGATCAATGTCCATGTTGTTTGTTTCACTTACTCCTAAAAACTGCATAGACTCAACTCAAGTCTTTGTTCAACCATTCAGCTTATGTTAAACTTCATATGCATACTGAATTCTGCATGTGAGTGTGATTTATATTTTTTACAATTTTGTCAGTCATATCGCTACAATGTCTGCAGTGTAACAGTTTATAGTGATGTCTAGCACTGGGGCATCATACCACAGACATATGGCATCATGTCCCACCCAGTCACATTATCCTGACACCAGGTCAACCAGTCCTAACACTAACCTCTTAATACTGAACACGAACTGAGGCAGTTGTTAATACCATTTTTTAAAGTCTCTGTAATGACTCGGCCAGGGTTCAAACCCGTGACCTCCCACATCCGAGGTGGATGCTTTAACCACTAAGCCACCAAAGCGGTTTATTTCTGCATGCATTGTGTGATACAAATGATCTGAAACACAGATAATCAATTAGCAGTTTCATAAATGTAAAGAAGCAACTGATTAAGGAACAGACATTCTAAATATCTGCAGAAATTATCTCTAAACTGTGCTCCTCCTCCTCCTCCTGGCAAAGACAGATGTCAGAATTAAACAAATTGAGAAAATCAGAAGGCAACACCTGTCCTTGAAAGTTGAGATAAAAAAAATGAAATTTTCTAGAAGAAAAAACATTTTATCATTATAATTGATTGCACAGATCGCTAAAATTTATGCACCATGAATGACATTAATGAAATTACAATATGAGGAAAAATGTTATTATACAGAAAATTACTGATCATGGTACCTGTAAATATTCATTAAGAATGAAATAATGTTCTACAGAAAACAGTTTAAGTTCAACAGCAATGAAAAAGTCATAGAGAAGAAACCTGTAGATCAAACCTTGTTTGTCCATGCTAAAAAGAAAAAGATAATTTGGAAAAGATTTTTTCTACAAATTTTTTCTCCAACCCATTTACTGGAAACCATGTTTGCATGACCTAATTTAAATTTGTTGGAAAAAAAAAACCTTGATTATTATTACTCAGCAAACAGAAGTTAGATATGAACTCATTTTATAATTACCTCAATAATTCTAACTTGACTGATATAACATCCTCTGAAACTGACCATGTGTAAATAACAGATACAAAGGTAGCCATTCCTGAATCATACCTTCTTAATATATGTCCAGTAGGTGCTTAAAAATATTGAGTGAATTAATAAATGACTTAATAAGAATGATGTCAAATACTATTACAAACAAATGCAATCCATTCTGTAGAATCTTTTTTATAGTCAGAAACATTTCATGGTCATCAACCAAAAACAGAGTCAGTTAGGAAAGGAAACAAAAAACAAAGTTCTTTTCCAATGTAGGCCTTGTAGGTTTATCTCATTCATTCATACGTCTACAAAGCACTAGATTTAGTACAGAAAATCTGCCCTAAACTGGACACAGTTTGGAATAGCCAAAAATTGTCTGATTCATGGATATAGCCAGTTTAAAGAGGCTGAATTATCTTTATAACAGCTTTATTTGGGCCACAATATGTATCCAGTTTGCAGGAGCCAGATTACACAGAGGCTGGTTTAAGAAAGTTTCAACTGTAACCTAAACATTACATCAAGGTAACCTCAACATTACATTGAGCAATGTTAGAATACTCTGTAGAAATTTAAAGACAAATGACTGGTTCATCAGAAACATCAACCATTAATTGTAATCACTGAAAGATATTTTCTCCATTTTGCATGGACAATGTAACTATTCCATTACTTAGCTGAATCTTGCTTTCAGGATTAAATACTTAACAGCTTATCAGCATATGTGTATTTGTGGTCTACTATGCTGCTGGCAACAATGTATACTCCAAAATGTAAATTTCTTTTGACTCCAAGATTTCATTATAGATGGCTACATAAAGGATTAGTTCCATGCAATTAACTGTCACACTTCATAAACAGACTGTTACTATTATTAGTAGTATTAGTATTAGTATTTTTAGCAGCAGCAGCTTAGCATATTTGCTTCATTTAGGACCAACTCTAATCTTTTTGAAAAGTGGGTGGGGTAGGAAAATAGTGATGACAGACAGATGTCAGATGATAGATAACTGGCCATCCCATAAACTCTCTTAGTCTTTGACCAGCTGAGCTAAAACAAAACATTGTAAGTTTTCTGATCAGCAATACCACAGCAATCTGACTGAAATGAAATACATCAAGCCATAGTAGTGCCCATTCTGTGCTGAACTAAGGTCAGAGCTTGGTTAAATCTGGTCAAAATCTGCTCATCAACAAACTCATTTTAAGACCATATAAAGACAGTTTCATGTGCTTTTCTTTTAAAAATTATATAAGAGAAAAATGTGGATCAACATACCTTTAACGTTTTATAATTTTCTGTCAATGAAAACTGTATCCACTAATGGTCTATAACAAGAATTTTTGCTGCCAAAACACCTTACTGGTTATACACTATCTACAATACCATCACCTGTCCTGAAATGAAACATAAATAACTGTAAGAAAGAACCCTGCATTCAAAGAACACAATAAGCACATATATATAACAAGGTGGAAAAAATTTTGATAACTGTGCAATTTTCACCACATTTTCCACAATCAAGAGAAATATTTTATTATAGACATACTTCATTACTGCTAAGATGGTATGGTTGAAAAGGCATATACCTTCAAAAATATAGCTTGTAAGTATTATTTTTTTATACAATGCAACCTAACAGGTTCACTTCATCAGTGTAATGGGTTTTTTTTCTATTAAAATGTTTTTTACTACTTTTTTATTGACATTTCAAATGTTAGGATTTTATGGCTTCCCTAATTAACACCAACTGACACAGTATTCTGGATGTTATACTACCTGTTGAAAGTCCAGACTCCTAGTTTATACAGTCTACATCTATCTATCAGCCTGTCTGTCTGTCTGTCTGTCTATCTATATCACACACACAATTACAAATACACAGTGACACAAATACATATGTGTGCTATTGCTCATTATTATTAATTATTATTATTGCTGCTCATCAACAAAAATAAGGTATTTACCCACATTAAAAAATACTGCATAAAAAGATAGGAATTCAAACGCAGATACGTTTGGTTGTAGCATTTAACAGCTCTTGATATTGAAAAAGGTAACCCACTTTTTCAAATGTTTATGTTTTTTATCACACAGCTTTGCTAAATAATTTTCCAGGTTTTTTTTGTGGCATAAAATAATACTTTTGTAACTTGTAAAAATTTGGACTTTTGTAAGCACAGTGAGACTTATGTAAGAAATTGTGTAATCAAAATAAAAAATTAATCAGATCATCAGACTTGCCATATCTAAAGAAAACATCTTTTCCTGAAATCATATTATTTGGCATTTAATTAATAATCCATGAAATATATGATTTTAAAAACTCTTCAAACACTGACAATCATACAACAGGTGTCTGATAGTTTCAACTTCTTGTTTAAAAAAGGTACAGGTATCATCATCAATCAAATTTACATATTTTCACTTATTTATTATTATACTAAATTTAAACTGAAAGGCAATTAAGGTTGTGTCTTAAGTGCATTTTTTTACTAATATTATAGTTTCTTTCCAGATTGGCTAACTTACATAGCACCTTAATTGTCCTGGCCATGCCTTTTTATTTTCCATAGTATCTATTTGTTCTAGTCTTTACCAAATTTTTACATACAAATTTTAAATTTGTATTTGTTAAGAGTAAACTTTTTCTCAATTTACATTTATAAGAGTGTATTTCTTGTTAATATAATTATTTAATTGACTTTACTTGTTACCAGTTAAGTTTGAAATAATTGAGAAATAGTAAAACAAATTATTTGGGCAAGCCTTTCAACATAATGTTCCAAAATTTATTAATAATCTTTTTGGTTATCAAAAAGATTTTTAACCTGTCATTACACTTTTATTTCCATTTTGTATAGGAATGAAGGTTAATAATATAAACAAAATTTAGAATATTCAGAGACAAGTATTCTTTGACTAGCAAGGACTCCATTTTCCATGGAAATGATAACACCTGGCTTAAGTATATTTACAAATCTGTTTCATTTCTTAATTTTATTACCTAGTTGCCTCCAAATTTTCATAGAACTTGTTTTAAAACCTTATTCTTTCAGTTCTTCTTCATTTGTAATCAGGTTTTTAATCCAAGTGATCTTTATGTATTGAAAACAAGAATGAACATGAACCATGCCAAAAACAGTATTTATAGCAGAGTCTATATACATTTTTTTACACTATAGTTTTACTGTGCCAAAAACACTTTTTAAAAATATTTATTCAATTTGTTTTGTATATATCATGGGGGATTTGGCAATGCTAAAAATAAATAAATTTTGTTAAAATCAATGACTTTGTCAGAGATATTTTCATTATAAGGAACAGATTTTCCTCATCCAAGTTTATTTAACTGCTTTTAATTTTTTACTTTGGCAGCTCATCAAGATTTAAAAAGAATTATATTCCTAAAAGTCGAAAGGAAGAAGCAGACTATATGATTTCAATGTATGGACATTAGTTTGCTTCTGAGACCTTCATTTCTTTCTATTTTGTTTTTGATTTTAATACAGACTAATGCGGAATCCTTAAGTGCTTTAATGGTAGACCTAAAACACTGTCGAGTACAATACAGTAGTAAAAAGATATCATTCACATACTGACCAGGTTTAAACTCATTATAAAAGAGACCAGTAATAGTTCTGGTATACCTGAAATCATTTAAGACAAGTTCAATCTCTATAATAAATAGATATGCTGCTAACAGATCTCTTTGATGGCACCCTCTCTCTAAATGAAGGAACTGTGGAGTTTTATATATACATGCATTTTTATATACTTGGTGTAAATTACTTTTCACAATCATTTCAAATATTATAATACTTAAGTATCAAAATAAAATATTACAAACATATGCTGGTTTGACCTGAACAAATAGCTAAATCTGTAATTAAAAATATAGTAAGAATATTCTTTTATGTGTGTAACAATAGTTTATTTGCCAACTTTCACATTTTCTTTTAATTATTTCCTTATCTCATCTCATTTAGTGATGAAAAATCCTTGTGTTTTTTGGTCCATGCTCATAGGGGATAGAGGCTAGCTGCATCTCCTTATTTATATCAAAATGTAGACCATAATAATACATAGATGAAGTACTTTAACACCTACTGATTGTTCAAGTTAAGGTTGCTTATGACCCAGATAAATAACTGGTACCCTGCAAATGAACAGTTGTAACAGCAACAATCTGGTCTCCATGAAATATAAAAAAATTGTTTTTATTGTCAAGGTAAAAGAACAACTGATAAAAGCTCTGACAAAATTATGCTTCAAACTGGTCAACAGAATATTTAAAGTTTTTTTTATCTTCACTCCTTTTTA